CATCATTTTCCTCAAATCCTCTATTTTTTATCTGCATCTGCTCTAGAGTCACTATGTCTTTCATTATGGTCACCGTCTCTGTAGCTATCTGAGATATTATTCCTAATTTGATTTTTTTTAGTAGCCTCATCCATCTGCTTTGTTACTTCTGCTCTTACCACTTCAGAGAGTCCAGGTGGGTGGGTTTCAAATCATTCTACCTCATTGGCCCCTGGGTTTGCCTTTGGTGAGCTCAAAGTCTGGGGTTACATCTTGCTTAAGTGTCTTCTCATTTTCTATTTTTTTTAAGTTTATTTCCCTGGTTGATACTTGTAAATTGCTTATGGCAAGTAACTCTATTGCTAGTATTTAGAACTGTTAGGAAATTACTACTTCTTTGAGATGACTTCCAGGTGTAGCTGGCTTTTGGGTTTAGAGTCTGTTGTAAGATCTTACCTCTTCGACTTATTGGGGATGGAGAGTTGCTGCCTATTTGGCCTAGGTCATGGTTCTTTGGCACTGGCCTATAGTATTGTTTATGACCTTTAGGCAATCTTTGTCTTGGCATACCAGAAAAAATAATTGATTAGAACAATTATGTCACCTTGGCTAAAGTGGTACAAGCAGCAATAAGAGAAGCATCAAACACAGCCTAGAAAATGATAAACTGTGGTAACTATTAATTTTCCACCTTTAACCGTATAAACTGTATTTGTGGTTATATAACAAAATCTTAAAAATCCAGAAAATTGTATGCAGTAAATATGCCCTCAATATGGCAATTTTACCCTCAGGGGAGAAAATTTAAAAGGGGATAGGGTGGAAAATAGATAAATAAAGAAGAGGAAGAGATTAGAACCAAGGCTGGAGTATGTGAACTTTGGGAAACTGGTGGAGAAGACAGGAGGAAAAGAGAGAAAGAAGAAATAAAAACAAGAACAGAACAACAACAAACTGAAACAATGTTTACACTCATATAAATACAAGAAGAAATAAGGAAGAAAAAAGAAAAGAAAAACAAAACACAAAAAGAAATAAAAGAAGAAAAATTGTCTACTTCAGGCTGTGTCTCTGCTGTCACTGGTAGACAGTATCCGGAGTGTCCAGAGTGGGAAGACAGAGTCCAGACCCTATTTGATTAATCCTAGCAAGCTAGTCATAGATTTATGGAGCAGTGATGGATAATCTCAGCAAGCCTGCACTTTAAATTCCACTGAAGTGCAAGCTGGTTTCTCACTGTGAGGCTAGAACCCAATTTGTTCAGCCTGCAACACTCAGTGTGCTTCCTGCCAACTTGAACTTGGCTCCCTGCTGGCTTGAACTCAACTGCTTGACCTCCTGCCAACTTGAACTTGATTCTATCTCACTCTGACACTGGGAGCCACTAGATGGAGCCAGCCCAAAGCTGCTCTGAGTTCCAAACTCAGTTGGCCCCTCTCCAAGATGGCTACTGGCCAATTGCCCTTTCTTGGGGGACATCTGAACCTGAATAACTCATCAGCTACTGCAGTCTGAGGCATCGCCTGCTCTGTTCCACTAGTGCATTTGTCTTTGGAGACCTCTGGGGTTGCCAGTAGTCATCATGCATATGCAAGTTCCAGCCACCCTTCCCTCACAATGAGTCAGCACTTAGGGAGAATGTACCATTTGCCACCTCTTTCTTCTGTGTTGAGCTCTCTCTTTGTTCTCCTCATGGGCTTCGATTCTTGCTTCAGATCCTTGCTGGATCCCAGGGACCCTCTTCCCTCCTTCTTCTCCTCCTTATGTTGCTATATTCCAACTTCTGGACACCAAATCTGAAATAGGCTGTTTCTCTACTGTTCACTACTTTGCCATCTTCCCCAAAGTTCCCCAAGGGCAGTGGATTTTCAGATAGACCTCCTGTATCAGAGTCACCCTGCGCAAGACACCTGGTGAAACAAAGATTCTTGGAGAATAGCCTGGACAACATGCCCACACCCAAGTGCCCACATTCTAATTACCATCGTCTTTCCTTGGTGTTTCTCAGCTTTGAGGGTAGAACCCATTTCCTTGGTTACCATCTTAAGTTAACTCAATGTTTCCTTTTGGTCCAACATCACCTGTGTAACAAGTTCCTTGTACTAAATATCTTCTGCTGCTGAAATACTGTGGTTTTGACTTTCCTGGACTCAGATCCATATGCCAGGATAGCCTACCTTCCTTGAGTATATAGCTGGGTAGGGGCTCTTTCTGATACTGGGACTCAGGAAGATACATGAGTACTCAGTCAAACTTCAAAAAGGGGACAATCAAATTGTTTCTGGAGCTTAAGTCACAAGAAGGAATGACACAAATGATGTAGAGACTCAATTTATGGTTCCTGATTGAGAGAGCCTTCTGAACTGCAGTCTGGGGGGGGTGCTCATTGTGGCCACCTGGGACCAAAGAAGTCATCCATGAAGAAGGGAATGAAAGGTAAGAGAAGGGTATGGGTTCCTGTGCCACCCTAGTGAGTTCAGGGTCCGAGTTTCTCCACCTCCAAGACTACAGAAAATATTGGATTCTGGGGAAAAATCATTTATTCTGTGGTGTTGGAGACTGAACTCTAGACCTCATGCATGCCAGCCAAGAGCTCTATCACTGAGCTATGTCCTCAGCCCTGATTCAAAATTTAGTTATAATTATGAAGGTCTTTACACACAAAGAAATGATAAATATCCCACTAGGGCAGAGGTGGTTAACCTTTTAGAACTTTCAGTGTTAACAAACATCCCACTGTGGCACATGTCCCATTGGTTTGCCACCACTGACATAGGGGCTCAAATCTCCAGTCTTTTTTCCAGCACTGGGGATCAAACTCAGGACTTCATGCATGTTAGGCAAGTGCTGGACCACTCAACTACACTCCTAGCCCCTATGTTTTTTATTCTTGTTTTGTTGTATTTGAGACATAGTTTTACTATGTAGCCCAGGCTGGCTTCAAACTCAGAGTGATCTTCCTGGCTCAGACTCTTGTTTGGTGGGATTACAGGCATGCACCACTGTGCCCTACCTACCCTTTAAAAAAAATATCTCTTAGGGCTGGGGATTTAGCTCAGTGGTTCCGCCACCTGCCTCACAAGTGCAAAGACCTGCTTTCGATCTCTGGTACCAAAAAAAAAAAATAATAATAATAAATAAATAAATCTCTTAAATTTTTAGTGTAAGTTCTACACACCTTTATTCTTACTACATGTGTAGTAAAACTTGAGCAAGTCACAAGTTACTTGCAAGAACTGGTTTCCTCTGGATCCAAGTCTCGTGAAGCAGGAGCTGTGGATGCACTAGCTGGGGAGGACCAGGGCTTTACCAGGAGACAGAAGACAACTGCATTTCACTGGAAGCCAAATCTGGGGACTAAGGAACTGCAGAGTCACCGGTGACTCTAAGTGAGACATCCAAGGGGGACCACGGAGGTGTGTTGTGCAAAAGAACAGGACCGGGGATACTTCATTTATTGTCACAGCCCTGGCCAAGAGCCCTATGCATATTAAGTCCCTTAACTTTCTTTTGAGACAGGGTCTCACTATGTAGTCCAGCCTGGCCTCAAACTTGTGGTGATCCTCCTGCCTCAGCTACCTGGGATCACAGGGGTGCACCACACCCAGTGAGTCCCTTTTTTTGGTACCGGGGATCAAACTCAGGACCTTACACTTTCGAGGCAGGCGTTGGAACCACTGAGCTAAATCCCCAGCTGAGTCCCTTAACTCTTTGCAGACACTCCATTGGTCACTCTGTGTCCCATTTTATAAATTAAGGTAATGAAAGTAGCTTCCCCAGGGCCACATAGGTATAGACTAAATAAATAAGGGAATTGTTTTCTCTCCTCATGCACTAAATAGCCTAACGCTCATGTAAGAATCACAGGTCCTGTCTTCAATTCCTGATAAATCCTTGTGGACTAATCAACTATGTAATTTAACAGCCATTTATAACTACTCTTAGCAGGCATTGTGGTGCCCATCTATAACCCCATCGCTTTGGGGGTCAGAACTCTGTTCCTTGGGTTCTCAAGCCTCGTCTTAGCTTCTGTTGAGCAGTTTCATGCTTCTGCAACTATCATGATACAAACACCAGCCATATGGTTGATGCCCTTCAAATCTCAAGGCTACTCTGGTCCTCAGGACATGGCCAAGTGCTGCCAGTGTAGTTCTTTTCATAAGCAACTTTTTTCTTTTTTTCGGAGACAGTTTCACTATGTAGCCCAGGCTGGCATTGAACTTGTGATCCTTCTGCTTCGGCCTCCTGAATATGGGGATTATAGGGATAATAGCTATGTGCCTCCATATTTGGGAGCAGTCATTTTAGTCTTATAATTGGCTCATGCAATCAGGGAAAAGGTGGTTGCAAGCACAGGTTCATCATTTTTTTTTTCTCAACTTCATCTGTCTCAGGTCTCTAGTCTTAGCCCTTTAGTCCTCATTGTTTCAGTAGCTCACTGATGTGTTAAGTAGATAATTTTAATCTGGCTTTTCTCATTGTTCTCAGCAGGATTATGGGTTTTCTGCAAACCTAGGTGGAAAGTGTTAAGTTTTGCTTTAAATAATTTTTGAGACAAAAAAGTCTTGCTGTGTAGTTCAGGCTGGCCTTGGACACACAGTGATCCTCCTGCCTCAGCCTCCCCAGTGCTGGGATTCCTGGTGTGTGCCACTATGCCTGGCAGTTTGCAAATAATTTAAAAATACTACCTTAAAGAAAAATATGAAAAATTTCAAGGCTGTTTGCTTTTCATGTTGAAAAAAACCCTCCTGACTTTAATTCTTAAAACAGGCAAAAAAGGGAGGGGGTACCTAGAATGGTACAGGCTGATTTATAAGCCTCCTTCCTCATGCAATATTTCAAGAACATTTATTCTGACTGATGATATAGTCAATAAGTCAAAAATATAAAAGAACATGTAAAGTCATCCTGCCATTCCTTTCTCCCAACCACAAGTTCCTCCCCCTTATACAATTATTTCTCCTTCAGAAGATATTTTATGAAAATATGTATTTCTCAAATGACTGCACATTTACATGTCATATTTTACTTAACTCTATTGTTCTTTTCATATAAGGTTTTTTAGCAGCTGTACAGTATTTTATTATACCATCATTTACTGAGTATTATGGACAGCATGTTTATAAACTGATTATTACAATGTTTAACAAATTTTGTACATCATTCTGCAGACACATGAAGACAGTGCTAAGGAATTCCAGGGGGGAGAACTGTCAAGACTACCTCCCTGAGGATTTTCAAGTTTGTATTCACACCAGGCGCTACATAAGAATGTTTGTTTCCCCACTCTTTCCAAGATTAAAAAACACACCACCCACTCAAAAACCAAACCACATCCTTCACCTTTACTGTGAAAGATGGGAAAGTATACTTACATGGTATTATTAAGAGCCATTTATATTTCTTGAGAATAATTTTTCTTGAAAATACAATCTTTGCTAATTTTCTGAGTTGTTCACCTTTTTCTGAATGAACTGACAGATGTTACACGTAAGTGAATTAAATCTCTGGGAAGAATTGCAACTATTTCTTCCCCCAGCTTGCCATGTATTCCAGCTTTTCTCTATGGTAATTTTGTCATGCAGAATCTTTAATTTTTACAAAGGCAATTTTTATCTAAAATATAGTACATACACATAATAATCTATTAATTATTTTAATTATCATATTCTCAACATCTGCAACCTTTGGTACTCCTTTGGAAACTCAACATTCTCATGTTCGCCCAGTAGAGTGAGAGGAAAAATAACCATATGTTCTAATGACTTGGCACAAAACATTTATTATTTTTAACAAAAAGGCATACATGGTAGGAAGAGCAGAAAGATTAACAGAGAAGTTAAAATTTATCTCAAAACCAACTTTTGAAAAAAAAACAACACCAACTTTTGAACCCAGGAGTGGTGGCGCACGCCTGTGATCCCAGCACTGGGGAAGGGGAGGCAGGAGGATCATGAGTTCCAGGCCAGCCTGAGCTACACAAAAAACAAGAATAAAATGAAACAAAAAAACCCCCCAAAACAAAAAGCCAACTTTTGTCAGGAAGACTTCTTCACAGACAAGTGAAGGGCAGAAATACAGAAATCCACATAAGATGGGCTGTTTTGGTTTTCTTTCTTTTTGGTTTGGACTATTCCAGGGAGACTTAATTAGATAAGTTTTAATTTGAGGAGTTCCAACAAGGCCCACCCTAAATGTTGAATTTTCTCTTAGAAAAATACTTGATTCATAAGACAGATTTGAATTTGTTTCTGACTGTACCACATTTCACACAATCATTACTCAGAGGGCAATTTTTTTTTCCTGAGAAATGTCAAACTAAATTTAAAATTAGCAAAAGGGGGCCGGGGATTTAGCTCAGTGATTTCACCGCCTGCTTCGCAAGCACAAGGACCTAAGTTTGATCCCTGGTACCAAAAAAAAAAAAAAAAAAAATTAGCAAAAGAATTCTACCTATAATCACCAAATCTATATTCATGTAGATGCCACAAAGTATGTAAAGATAAAGAGAATTTATAAAATTTGAAGGAAAAAACTTGTGACATCTAAAAATACTGGCAAATTAAAGCTAAAATTCATGCTGGCAATTTACTATCTGTTTACACTAAATGGATGGCCAGAGGCCAGCAGAAATGCTAAAATGGTTGTTTGTTTGCTAAAGGTTATTCATATTAATGAAACAAAAGATCAACAGCCTCTAAGTTAAACGTCACAATATGAAATCACTGCTTTCTGATTTAACTTTCAGAAGACAGACAGGGCAAAACCCACGTATCATACTTGTTACTTCTGCTTATAAATACAAATAAAAGCCAGTACACACATGATGAGGATATAAATGCATGGTTGTTTCAAATTCCAAAATAAAAGCTTTTGTGTAATCCAATTCTACAGTTTTTCTGGAATAGCAAATTAATGGAAATATGCATTTCCAAAAACTTAGAAACAAAATTTGGTTTGGTATTTTTGGAGGGGATCTGCTAGGTACTTCAGGCTGGCCTCAAACTACAGGAGATCCTCCTGCCTCAGCCTCCCCACTGCTGGAGTTACAGGCCTGTGCCATCACACCTGGCTACTAACACTTTGATTCTGACATCAAATACTATAGTGTGAAAAGCTACAAAAGCAAAATGTTTCCGTAATCATTTAGCAAAGAAAGGATGAAGGAGAATGTTGTCAGGAGACAGCTGCTCCTTTGCACTTGGACTCAGCTGATCTACTTCACTCAGCCCCATCCCAGCTCTTAACTCTTCACCCATGAAGAATCTACTTTCCTTTCTGTCAATTGAGTTTCAATTTTCTAGAAAACTCTGATTTAACATTGGTCCTAATCCATTTTAAATCAAAGGAAATGCTGTAACATAACATTTATTTAAATCACAGACAGAAATTAAATGCTTTAGTGTTACAGCAGATGCATTTCAAGTGCTCTGTAAAGATAAAGGAAAGCAAGAGTCTAGACTTTATAAATTCTACATGTATTCCCTAATTACTTGCTACAGCATGATCCTCCTTGGATTACTATTCCCGAAGAAGGTGAACAAAGCGCATAAAACATGCACTTCTTGGAAATGGAATTGGACTTGAAGTCTCAGGCCTGGCCAAGGAATTCTTCCATCCAGGATGGTCAAACTTACTACCTCAGCATCAGCAACGCAGAGGGGCTTTGAAGAAACACGTCTGCTCTCCCTTTTAAACACAGTGAGTGCCTATGGGCCAGGACCTCAGGACAGGGCCACGGCGATTCCATGGCAAAGAGAAGCGCTGCTCTACCTGGCTTTCCTAGATTCCCAAACACTTTACCCAGGCTCTACTTTGTGCACCTGTGAAACATCTGAAAGATACTTTTCTGTGAGTTGCTAGGCTGCAGGGACTGAGCACTTCTAGGAACACTGCAATGATCTCTGCTAGACTTTGGCATCTTTCTTCCGTTAACTGAAGGCCTCAGCTGGACTGTAAAAGGTTGCCAGTTCTCATCTCTGGAGCCTCTCCGCAGTCTGGGATGCTCAGCAGCTGTTTGAATTTTGAGGCTGTGATCTCCAGACGCCTCCCTCTGTGCAGTCAGAAGTCTGTCGGGGGGCATGGATGCTGCTCGGAGTTCATACTCTTCACGGCTGGGCTTCCTTTGCTCTTTTTTCTCTTCTTCCTGCAGCTGCAAAGCTAATAATCTGTCCTGTTCTTCTTGCTTATGTCTCTCAAAAAGCAGATGCTCCAAATCTATCAGTTTTTGGGTAAAATTTATCTCTGTTTCCTCTTGATCTGAAGAAGATTTGGGGAACATTTTCTTCCTTTTCACAGAGCAGCAGGGATCCCTGGCTGCTTCAGATGCAGGCTCCTGGTGTTTTCTTTTGGAAACATCTTTGCTGAGCAGCGGGCCAGACTCCTCATTTTCTGTCTCCATGGTGCAGTCTACAGTCACCTGGGTCCCACCTGACAGGTTGCCCTCATTCCCTTTGTCCCCAGGCTTAGTGGAGGGAACTCTGGCTTTTCGTCCTGCATGATGTGTGACACACAACTCTGTATCATGATTGTCTGATCTTGTCTTGACCTTGCCTTCAAGACACTGATCTGTATCATAGGCACAGAGCCACGGCATTGCTGAGTCCACCGAAGACCTTGGACTTGGATCCTGAGCCTCAAGGCACATTTGGGGAGAGAGTGTTGGCATATCTTCAGCTTCTATGTCTTGCCACACAGGGCTCTTGACTCCGCTACCACCAACTTCCTGTAGAAAACAGAAATGAGAGTCAAATCATAATCTATAAATCCATAAATCAGATGCCATAGATGACCAAGTCACTAGGCATTACTCTGTGTTAACAATAAGGCTGATTCTCTTTTTTTGGCAGGGGGCACTGCTGGGTCCTAGGGCCATGCATATACTAGGCAAATGCTCTACCTCCAAGAGCTGTAGCCCCAGGGCTGATTCTTTTTTAACAGTATTGTTGGGGGTATGGTGGTGTAAGCCTGTAATCCCAGCACTCCAGAGGTTGAGGCAGGAGGATCACCACAAATTTAGTGCCACGAAGTGGCCTAGATAGTGAGTTCAAGGCCAGCCTGAACTACACAGTGAGACCCTATCTCAACCAAAAAACACCATTAGCCTATGAGCTGATTTATATTAAAACACCAATTCATTTTCATTCCCATGAAATCCTACAGATTAAAACCCATAAACTGGATTCTACGTGTGGCCAAATTGTGGGCATCAGGACCTGACCGCCTTCACCTCACAACCTTACAAACTTCTGGTCCAGGGGTTTTGAACCCCTTTCTGTCCCCTTGACCATCCTTTTAGCATTTTGGTGAGGCAGTTTGCTGACAATATTTTAATACAAAAATTAACATACATAGCTGTTGGGAGCAATGCTACATAATTCTAGGGAAAAATCATTTGAGTAGGCCTAGTTCTCCTGCCTACAGGCCAGCAATAACACTCCAAGACATACTTCCATTTTGGCCTCAGGTCACAAGGGAGATCTCAATGATCCCATGATGCTGTAATCCTCCAGCACAAGACCACACCTGTGGGAGACACCCTGGGAGGAACCAAATCTTCATCTGCATAGTTCCTCATTGTTCTTAGATTTCTGCGGCCCCCACCCAGTCTTTTGTTACACCTTGTTCATCCCAATATGATACTGAAATCTACATTATTCATTTGTTACATTTGTTTCTTTGGGTGGACTAAATAAAAGGTGCTGCAAGCTAGGGCTTCTTGTCTTTGCAGCCTAGAGCAGCACTGATCAGACCCAAAGCTCAGCTTCTTCTCAGTCTCATTTGTCTACCTTTCCTGTAATTCGCCGTGTGCTGCCGTGGCTCGCAGGAGACTAGGACTTACTGCAGAGGTTCTGGTAATGTCTCCTTCCCCTGTTCCCTACACATAGCCTCAAAAAGGAAAACAATATTAAAATCTTAAACCACATATGCATGTACTGGTATATTAAATAAGATCTGTCTGAGCTGGGTGTGGTGACACACACCTGTAATCCCAGCATTTGGAAGGCCTCAGCAGGAGGATTACTGCAAGCTTCTGGCCAGCCTAGGCTACACAGTGAGTTCGAGGCCAGCCTGGAACACAGCAGGATCCTATCTCAGGGAAAAAAAAAAAAATTCAGTAGGAAGTCCAATAACTTCTAATATCAAAGTTATGACTATAGGGCCGGGGATTTAGCTCAGTGGTTTTGCCACCTGCTACGCAAGCGCAAGGACCCGAGTTCAATCCCTGGTACCAAAAAAAACAAAACAAAACAAAAAAAACACATGACTTTGGGCCAGGGATTTAGCTCAGTGGTTTCGCCGCCTGCAAAGACCAGAGTTTGATCCCTGGTACCAAAAAAAAAAATGTTATGACTATAAATGATATTTTCTTACTTTTATGAAAAAATTGCACAGCAATAAAAATAAGTTAATACACTGTGTATTGTTATCATAGTACTCAAGAGTACAAAACAAACTAAAAAGATTGTTACAAAAAAGAAACAGATAATAAAACTTTCTTTTCTAAAACTAAAATAGCACACATATTAAAATATTTTTGAGGGGACAGGGATTTAGCTCAGTGGTTCCACCACCTGCCTTGCAACCACAAGGTCCTGAGTTCAATCCCCCGTATAAAAAAAAATAAAAAAAATTTTTTTGAAGCCAGCCATGGTGGTGCATGCCTGTAATCCCAACACTCAGGTGGCTGAGGTAGGAGGATTCCTGAGAGTTCAAGGCCAGCCTGGGCTACATAGTGAGAATACAGCCAGCCTGAACTACATAGGGAGACTCTGTCTCAAAACAAAATGTTTTCTTTAAACAACAGAATATGGCTTTTTCTTTTTCCTTTTTGTGGTACCAGGGATTGAACTCAGGACCTTGCACTTGCGAGGGAGGTGCGGTGCAACCGAGCTAAATCCCCTGCCCACAATGGAATATGTAATGTGGGAAGTGTTTGACTTCTCCCTACTTATTTTATATACATATATAATTTCTCATATAAGAGAAAGTGTAGTATTTGAGCTTGTGCATATGACTTATTTCACTTAACATTACGTTCTCAAGTTGGATCCATTTACCTACAAATGTCTCGTTTATCTTTTTTTATGGCAATGTAGTACCCCACTGTGTATAACCACATTTTCCTTATCCATTCATCTATTGATGGACATATATGCTGTTTCCAAGATCTAGCTATTATAAATTGTGTTGCTACAAACATGGGTACGGTATGTGTGTGTGTATATATATATATATATATATCCCTGTAATATGATTTTTTTTTTAGTTTGTTGAGATAGGGTCTCACTATGTAGTTCAGGCTGGCCTTGAACTTCCAGTGATCATCTTGTCTCAGCCTCCAAAGTGCTGGGATTACAGGTCTGTGTGATCACATTCAGCTCTCTGTAATATGATTTTAACTCTTTCAGGAAGATACTTTGAAGGAATCCAACATAGATGAGTCAAATGGAATTTCTATTTTTAGGTTTTTTAAGTATCTCCATTTTGATTTCAAATAAATATTTCAAGAAATCTATAATAAATCAAATGTGATGTGAAAATACCTGTGTTTTCTACTGATGACAAAGCCATATTTTGTCAACAGCATCCTGGTTTGCTGTGTACATTCAAAATTAAAGAAAATACTAAAATTGGAGGTTAGCAAAACATACTTCTTAGGGTAAGAACTCTTGCTTTAGCCAGCCTAGTTAGTTATTCTTCTCACCTACAGGTTTTAGGTAAGTCAAGACTGCTCATCTAGTTTTGCTGTGGATGTGATATTCGGGGTAGGAAAAATATCCCGGTCCTACCACACCTACCAATCTTGGGCAAAAGAGGGACATCTGCCTTGTAGAGCTGATGGTTGTGACAATATTTTTTTTTGAGACAGGGTCTCGTTATGTAGCCCAGGCTGGCCTCGAGTTCACAGGATCTTCCTGTCTTGGCCTCTCGAGCGCTAGGAATACCAGCAGGCACCACCATGCCCAGCTCATGGTGATAATATTAGGGAGATTATACATACATTATTTGGGACATAGCAAATGTTCATTAGATGCTGGGTGGTATAAAACTACCCAGCTGAACTGAAAGGACTGTAAGGGAATAGCTAACCAAATTCCTCTGTAAGGAACCGACTTTGGCCTGAGTCCTTCTTTCCCAGCCTATTCTCCTGGAAGCCTGCTAAGAGTGAAATGTCACCTGTGTCATGGGCCCTACAGCTCACAGTAACAAGGACTCTGACTGGTATACTGCATCTGTGCCAGGACTATGAGTGCCCCATGAGGCTGAGGTTCTCTCTAAGTGACTCCCAACTCTGGCTGGGTGTGTTCTTGGGATGCTACCAGAAATGAATGACTAAAGGTGGCCTTGCTTCTAGGCTATCACTCTGGAGCCTGGATGAACAGCACACCTGATACTGCCCTGCCTGTGTTTTGCTTCCCATCTCAGAGTCTTCCAAGAGACACTGGTACCAGGTGCAACCCATTTGGTTTGTGACTTTGATCATCCAGGTCAAGAATCAGGAAACTGTGGCCTACGGCACAGCTCCAGGGTGCAGCCTTTCTTGTAAAGAAGTTTTTTTGGATCCCAGGTCACTCATTTGCTTACACATTGGTTAGGAGGCTCTCGTACTTCAAGGCCGTGAGCTGAATAGCTGTAATGACCACAAAGACTAAAATCGTTTGCCCTGGCACCTGAGAGCAAAGGCTTGCTGAGCCACAGTCCCGGTGAGCCTAACGACTAAGACAGGATGTGCAGTAACCAGTGTGCCTTAAAAAAGGGAATTACAGGCGCACGATGGCGCCAGTGAGCCCGGCGGTGAGGCTGCGGAACAGAGGTTTGGATTCAGGAGGCGAGGGGGTTTCTCAGGTTGGATTCAAGAATAAGAATGCGAAACGCAGGACTTGGTGGCCTAACCATCCATTGGCCAGGGACAAGGCTTTGCATTTCGGAGAAAATTGAAAATTCAGCAAAATTACAAGAAATTGCTATGGAAGGAAAAGAAGGCTGGAACATCACAGGAATCCCAATTCACAGATCACTACCCAGATCACTTGAAACATCTCTATTTAGCTGAAGAGGAAAGACTCAAGAAGCAACTGAAAAAAAACCAAAAACACACAAAAAACAGCCTTTGTCAGAAGAAAAAGTCAACCAGCCTTTGCCTGAAGAACAGTGTAGAGTTGACCTTGCTTTGTCTGAAGAACAATGTCATCAGACTCAGCCAGAAGAGCAACATAGCAAAACAGTAAATTCCATGACTCTTCCAAAGAAAAAGAAAACATCCAATCAGAAAGCACAAGAAGAATATGAGCAGGTAAAAGCTAAGCATGCTGCTAAGAAACAAGAATTTGAGAAGAGAAAACGAGAGAAGCTCAAAGGCTCTACAAAAAGAAAAAAATGGAAGTGTTCAAAATATTGAGCAAAAGGACTAAAAAGGGCCAACCAAACTTGAATTTACAAATAGAGTATCTTCTTAAAAAAAATACAAGGAAAAAGTTAAATCAGACATTTTGTTCTTTAGGGTAAAAATAACCACTGAACGTTCACTGTGTTCTTATGTATAGGAAATGCATAGTCCCTGAAAATGAACCAAATTTATCAACATAACATGAACTGCTAAGATGTGCAAATATATTTTTTCTTGTAAAAGAAAAATTTTAATATGTATAGTTGATGTAATATGGCTGGTTTTGTATTTATTTGCCTCTGGAGGAAGATTGGGTTGAAGAACCTAAATCTATTTGGGAGACAGCTCAAGAATACTTTAGTCATGTATGAAATTATATGAAATAAAATTTTTTGAAAAAAAAGGGAATCACAGGGCTGGTTATTTAAGCTCAGTGGCACTGCACCTGCCTCCCGAGTGCAAGGTCCTGAGTTCGATCCCCCGTACCAAAAATCTAAACAAAATCAAAAAAAGAGTCACAGGCATCAGTAACCTACAGTATTAACAACCCTCCCTAAGAACATCTTCACCACCAACATACCTTAGAGAAGGAATTCCTCCTGACTTCCTGTCCAGCTTCAGACTGTGATGCTGACCCAAACTGGGATTTAGGTGACAAATACCTTTAAAAAAATTATCAAAGTTGGAATGCTTTGAAAGACAGCTGGTATTTGGCTAATACAAGAAAGCCAGGTGACTGTTCATACCCACGGCTGTCTGCTTTCCTGATGAGCTGATTTATCAGAATGCATTTCCTCCCCCGGGGTAAGTCAGGAGAGGACTTAAAACTTGAAGTAAAAAAAAATATATTTTTTACCCCCATTACTGCAGATTGAATCAGGGCCTCCATAGACAGCTACATCCCCACTCCCCCTCCTCCCCTTGAAATAAGGTTTTACTAAGTTGCTAAATTGCCTGGGTTGGGCTTGAACTTGTGATCTCTGGGCTCAGCTTTCCAGAATACTGGAATTACAGGCTATTTTTAATTTTTGAGAAAGGGTCTTGCTAAATTGCCCAGGCTGTGTTCTGCCTCAGCCTCCCAAGTAACTAGGATTACATATATAAACTACAAGCTCAGCTAACTTTTTTGGATGGGGAGTACCAAAGATCGAACTCAGGACCTTGGGCTTGCCAGGGAGGTGCCGCACCATTGAGTTATACCCCCAGCCCCCTAACTTTTTTTTTTTTTTTTTTTTTTTAAGAGACAGTCTCGGGCCAGGGATTTAGCTCAGTGGTTCCAGCGCCTGCCTGGAAGGAAAAGGTCCTGAGTTTGATCCCTGGTACCAAAAAAAAATAAATAAATAAAGAGACAGTCTCTGTGTCATCTGTCCAGGGTGGCCCTGAACTCCTAGACTAAAGTGATTCTCCTGCCTCAGCCTTCTAACAGGTTATATAACAGGTAAAGTGGCTGGTTCTGTTTTAACTTATTTTTTCTTTTTTGTGATCCTGGGGACTGAACCCAGGGTCTCATGGATGTTGAATACTTACTCTACCACAGAGCCCCAGTCCCTTATTTAACTTTAACCTTAGTAAACTATCAGTTTCTGATAATGTCTGTTCCTAAATTCACTGGTTTATTTCTAGTAATTTTTAAATATTTATATACAGTGGTACCTCGGTTTACAAACTTAGCTTGTTTTACGGTTTTGGGGAAGATGGCTATGGTTGTGTTTGTCACCCAATGCAGAGTTTGCAAATGGAAGCAAAATTTTACTGAATACTTTTGTTTGTGAACTGAATTGTTTGCAAACAGAACCATTCACGAACCGAAGTATTACTGTATTCCAAAGCAGTTAGATATACAAAGATTCATGGGTTATATCATCAAGCAGATTATATCAATATAAAATACCTATGCTTTTTTTTTTGCAGAACCAGGGATTGAACTCAGGACCTTGAGCTTGCCAAGCAGCAGGTATAAAATACCTATACTTTTTAAAAAAGTTTATTTTTATTAGTCCATGTTTGTAGTACGTAAGGATCACATCCATCCTGGGGAGTTGGTAATGTACATAACACATCTTAATTCTTTTTTATTCATCTACCTTCCCTTCCCTATGAAATACCTACCTATGCTTTTTGTCTTTTAATGGTTTTTGTCTTGATTTCTACTTTGCATCCCAAATCTGTTTTTTATTTAATAGCAATGACTTCATTTAACCCTTTCAAGTGTTCCCACTCCAATTTCAAAATTTCAACAAATTTTGGAGGGAGCTGAGTGACTCACATATATTTACTCAGTTGAACCAGAAGCCCTTCCATGTTTTCCAAGTCTAGACGGAGGTTCTATTTCTTCTGACTATGAATAACTAGGGCAGCCCTTATGTCCTCATAAGCCATCAATTCTATCTGTTAAGTGATGCTAGAGGGGTAAGCAGGGGAACAGGGTCACGCCACCACTGACAATTCGTTTCATGATTTTTCATAAGGTGAGGAAGAAATATGATTCATAGGGCTGGGGATTTAGCTCAGCGGCACAACGCCTGCCTGGCAAGCACAAAGTACTGAGTTCAATCCCAAGTACTAAAAAAGAAGATTCATAAACTGGGAGAAAAGGGCAGAGCGGTTATGGTGGTTACACCTCATGATGTCAACATGATTGGCTTGGGAGCTGCCCAGTGGATTGGCTGAGCATCCCTCTGGGTGTGTCTGGGTAGGACATGAGGGCATGACACTGGGCACTATATCCAGTTCCTCACCCCTTCCTCTTTGGCCCTGTTCCCCTGCTCTTCTTGGCTGCCATGAAATGAACAGCTTTGTTCCACTTTGCCCTTCTGCCATGATGTTGCTGCCTTGCAGCCAACTGACCATGGACTGAATCCCTTTAAAACTGTGAGCCAGGGCCGGGGATTTAGCTCAGTGGTTCCGGTGCCTGCCTCTCAAGCACAAGGTCCCAAGTTCAATCCCCAGTACCAAAAAAAAACCAAAACTGTGAGCCAAATTAAACCTGTCCTTTAAATTGTCAGTGTTAGGTATTGCATCCCAGCAATGAGAAAGCTGACTAATACAGGGGGAATTTCTTTTCTTTTCTTTTTTTTGGTAACGGGGAGCGAACTCAGGACCTTGTGCTTGCAAGGCAGGCTGTGGAACCACTGAGCCAAATCCCCGGCCCAAAGGGTAATTTCTTAAGTACCACATTTTCAATTCTTTCAACGAAAATGAGCCTACCTGGGACCAACGTTTGACTTGGATTTAAACCAAGACAAAGAGGTATCTAACTGGTTCATTTTGTGAAAATGGGAATAATGGGAACCTGGAGCAAGCAAGATAAAAAGTGCAATCTGTCAAAATAAGCAGTGGGGTAAAAGGCACATCAGGTTTCACATCTCTCCTTGTGCTGGCCTGGAATGAGATATGGGAGCAGCTCTTTCTCTTCACTTCACATCAATCTCAGACTACCTTCAGGGGGTTTATCTAGAGCCCATGGGAAAAACCTTCATAATCAGTGGTTTACCATGAACCCAAAGCAATGGCTCATAGTTGTTGCTCAATAGATAGTTGGTCATGTTCACTTACTTCTGTATATTTCCAATGTTTCTTTCTTTGTTCTTTTTTTTTGCTTGGAACTTGGTTGTGACTGGATCAGATTTTCTGGAATTCGAGGGAGAAGCCAAGATATTTTCCTCATGGAAATTGTTCTTTAACAATAAAAAAGCATAAAAGGCAATGTTAAGGAGAACTTTATGATAAAATAAACTATTAACTGGACTAATCAATTCAGAACCCACAGAATTCTTCAGGAATTATATTTAAATTCTACATCTGCTTTGAAAAATACTGACACTGCAAAATTTGGTATAGCCAGCCCTCTAAACCCATGGATTCTGTACCCGTGGATTCAACCTCTTGCCTCAGCCTCCTGGGTGCTGGGATTACAGGTATGCACCACCATGCCCAGAAAAGCTCACCATTTCTTTTGGTAAGGGATTTTATTATTCTCAGGTTTTCATATCTGTGGGAGGTCTTGGAACTAATTCCTGTTGGACACTGAGGGATGACTGTAAAAATAAAGTCCATCCACATTGATCTAAATTAATTTTTAATATACATTATGAAGCACAGTAATAGGCAGGTTAGCTGAGTGTGGTAATGCATGCCTATAATCTCAGCACTTGGGAGGCTGAGGCAGGATGACTGCCTAGAGTTCAAGGCCAGCCCTGAAGGACTAGGGAATCTAGCATAACTGATAGAGGCTTACCCAGCATGTACAAGGCCCTGGGTTCAAGACCTAGCACCACCATGGCTCACACAAAAAAAGTCTGTGCTTTCAGGGCATATCAATAAATATCACAAATACTTCCTGTAATCAGTCCTGTAAATTTCTTTTCACACTACTGGGAAAGTTCAGATGACTGTTCACTATCACTGAAGTTTGATATTTAACCAAAATTTATTCTACAATTTCAATAAATCTGCTCTTACAACCCCTTGTGGAAACCGTAAGGACTGAACAATAGGTCTCTGAAAAACAGGGATAGATGACTCCAAATTCTCTTCTTCAATGTATTTTCTTCCCTGTTCCATTAGTTAATGCCTTTTAATGTCCTGATCATGCTTTTAAATGTACTTTTCTTAAATTGAGAAAAGAACTAAAATGTGTAATAGGTAATGTGAAATAGGAAGAAAAGGGGCAAAGGGGAAGGAAGTGGAAGGGGTAGGGGAAAGGAAAGAAGGGTATGGAATTAATATGACAAAATGGAAAAATAGGAACAAAATCTTTGTAAACGGGAGGAATGGAGGGGTTGAAGGGAGGGCTGGGCAAGGGTGAAAAATAAGAGCCAAGAGAGATTATGTAAAGGTGAAAATTTCCAACGATGAATGTTATTATATTGTGTACCTAAAATGTACCAATGATTAGAATGAATAATCGATAATGCAAAATAGGAAGAAAATGTCCAAAGGGGTAGGGGTAGTGGGAGGGGCAGGGGAAAGGAAAGAAGGGAAAGGAAAAATGATGAGAACTGGAAAAAACGGAAATAAAGTCTTTGTAAATAGGGAAGGGAAGGCTAGGAACGGGGAAAAAATAAGAACCAAGATGCATTATGTAAAGGTACAAGTTCCCAATGAGAAATGTAATTGTGTTATATACCTACAATGTACCAATAAAAGAATTAAAAAAAAAAATTGAGAAAAGAAAGGATATATGAAAAAAGGCTAGCCCAACATGGGCGCATGTCTGTAATCCCAGTGCTCACGAGGCTGAGGCAGGAGGATCCCTGTAAGGCCAGCTGGAATACATAGCAAGATCCTGTCTCAAATGGGAGGGGGGGTAACCACCCAAAATTTGAGTATATTTACTATGGCAAGCTTCTCAAAAATGAAAAAAACCCATAATTCTAGGTCTTCCTCATTTGGGTAAGCTCACTTTAAGATCTCTGGTGTCTGAAAGCAGAGAAATTGTATTGAAGGCTCTCAACCCGGAAGGTCTCAGATGTCCTAGATGTCTCTGGAGATGGTATTCCTTGGATCCCACCCAGAGGTTAGAATTCAGCACATTTAGTTTTTTGTTGGTTTTTTTTTGGCGGGGGGGTATTTTTTGGATTTTTTTTTTTTGGTACCAGGGATTGAACCCTGGACCTTGTGCTTGTGAGGCAGGCTCAGCTGCCACTGAGCTAAATTCCTGGCCTCAGCACATTTAGATACATAGAAGGGTTTGGATTCTGAAAGAATCCAAGGTGACCCCTTGAAGCTCTTTTAAACTACCAAGTTCCACTGTACTCCCTTAAAAAAAAAAAAAGTGGAGACAGGGTGTCTATGTAGTTCAGGCTGACTTTGAACTCTCTATGTAGCCCAGGCTGGCCTCGAACTTACAGTGACCTGCAGAAGGCCGTAATATTGATTATGCCCCCAAAGCAGGCTGTGAAGAGTTAACCCTACAACTGGCTTGGTTAGAGAAGTGAGTCTGGGTGAAGCCTACATGCCAAGGTCAGAGTAACTCGCACCGAAATTCCATTCCCACAACTAAAACCTTCAGACTAGAAGGACAATGTTCTAATTACAATCATATATTTTGTCTTTGTTCCTAATTTGAGAATGCTTTGTCTTGTCCTTTCTGAGCCTTGTTTACATTAATTTCCATAGAAACCACACGTTGCCTTTACCCCAACTGATTGCGAATAAGTCAGTGCCTGGGACTGTCCAGCACCTTTGTTGGTTATGCTGGCATTGGGTGTGCTGGAACCTCGCTTTCTCTCTCTTAGTTCTGTCTCTTAGTGTATTTTTTTCTTAAGCCTGCATCGAACACTGGGCAGGTAGGTACTGGAACCTGACTACAGGGGTCTCTGGCAGTGATCCTCCTGCCTCAGTCTCCCAAGTACTGGGATTCAAGGTGTGAGCCACCATATCCAGCTACCACTGGTCCTAAAGCATGTGTTTTACCATCCTGCCTTTTTCTCACAAGCAGCGATTTAATAATAAAATAAGATAATAAAATTCAAGTTTGATATATTACTTAGGAATTAGGCTGGGAGTGCAACTTAGTGGCAGAGCACTCGCCTAGCATGTGTGAGTCCCTGGGTTTAATCCTCAGTTATTAGATAAAACAAAAAAAACCCAAAACAAAACACACAAACACACACACACACAAAGTAATAGGAATGCTAATACTTCAAAGTTCTCTTCTAAGACTTACAATATTAATGCTCAGCTTTCTTGCCAGCTCTTCATCGTTTTTCAGTTGTTCTTCCATCTCACTTCGCCTTTTTTCTGTTTGTCTCCTTTCCTCCTCCTCCTCCTCTGCCAGCAGTCTCTGTATGTATTCTTCACTGGCTTTGTTTTCCTCTTCCTCACTGGCTCGTCGTTCAGCCTCCACCTTAAAAATGATTAACAAAGGTCAATCTTTAACTTTTTTTTTTCCGGTACCAGGGATCGAACTCAGGACCTTGCACTTGTGAGGCAGGCATGGCACCACTAAGCTCAATCCCCAGGCCATATCCTTAACTTTTTAATGTATTTAAAACATTTCACAGAAGAATCAGAAAAGGGCCAGGTGTGGTGGCAAGATCATCCCAGCACTGGGAAGGCTGAGGCAGGAAGATCCAGTGTTTGAAGCCAGCCTGCACTACAAAGTGAGACTCTGCTTCAAAAAAAAAGAAGAACGGGCCGGGGATTTAGCTCAGTGGTTTCGCCGCCTGCTGCGCAAGCGCAAGGACCTGAGTTTGATTCCTGGTACCAAAAAAAAAAGAAGAAGAATGAGGAAGAGGAAGAGTTTGCTAAAAAAAACTTCTGTGTTGAGTGGGGCTGGGTAGCACATCCCTGCAAACCCCCTCTAGAAGGCTGAGGCAGAAGGAGCATAAGTTCAAGACCAGCCTGGGCGACAAAATGAGGCTTCCTCTCAAAATAAAATATGAAAAAAGTGCTACAGACATAGCTCAGTACAAAGGCCTTGGGTTCAATTCTCAGAACAACAACAATACAACTTCTGTGTTAAGTTCTCTTGCTCTTAAAGCCATAGAAGAGACTGCTGCCTTTTCTTCTGGTTGGGTTTTTTTTTGGCCAGAAATAATTACCTTTATGGCTGTGTTTTTCATCTCCCATCCATCCATAGATCCTGCTCATAGTAATATGAGCCATTATTAACTTTAGCAACTTCTCATGTAAGTTTTGTCTAAGACATGTGGTTTCCTGTTCAGTCTCCTCCACGAAGTTTTCTCATATAAGGTGTTGTCTGAATTACAATCAAAGTCCTGTTTAAATCCTGGTCATCAATTTCATAATCTCAATCTTTATCAGACCAATCAGTAAATGTGTTTTGTTTTGTTTTTAATTAATCTTTGTTTCACACTTTATTCCCAGGCTTCTTCATTAATTGCCTGCAAAGAATGAATTGTATGTAAGCAAAAACTGAAAAGAGCTGCAGTGTCCAAGAGGCTTGGGCTTAAAAACTAGTATTAGAGATCTAGATTTTATCAGATCCATAAGCAAAAACAATTTTAAAAAGCAGTCATAATATAAAATAGCAGTTCCCAGTAACTTCTTCCAAGTTATATCTTCTTCAGAAGCTGACTCAATTCAGTTTGCCTCATTCTTATAGAGGCCTCATCAAAATTCTGTACAAGATCTGCAACTTCCATCATCATCCTCTCCAGTAGCAAGTGGTGCTTTTCCATCCACAGATTGTTTGGGCAGAGCTTCAGCCAGTCTCCTTAAACTAGTCAGACTGTCTGCATTGAGCTGGTTCAAGATGCTGGGTAGCATTTCTGTCAGCTGTTTTGTCTCAGCACGGCCTGTAATGGTGAAAGTGTTTGCTGCCAGAAACGCCTGAACTTTTGGGTTGTTGAAGTGGATCACTGTTCCTTGGTTTGTAAACATATTCACCTCTTCAATACCAGAGATATTATACTGTTTACTCCTAACTTCTTTAATGAGAACTGAAGTTTTTTATCATCTGCTATAGCTGTTCCATGAACCACCTTCTTCCTGTGAGCAGTTCCTTTCCCACCAATGCGCACTTGTGCCTGCAATTTGGCGAGTTTTTCCTGGTTCATGATAGTTTCTTTCATCTTGTCAGAGTGGTTATGCGGCAGTGCAGGGGACTAGGGCTGGCGCTCAGGGGGTCTCAGGCAGACCAGCTGAGATCAGGTGCACACACGCGGGGACTCAAGATGGCAGCTCAGTAAATGTGTTTTTTTATCCATTTATTCCATCTCTTCATCAAATAGAGAATCAAGTTCTTGTTATTGTTCTCCTGAAAGACATTACTGATTTGATCCCTCTTCAGGTATAGGTTCCTTTAATTTGACTGGGGACAGGTGATGCCTCTTTACTTCTATCCAAGGTTCTGAATCCAAGTCAGGTAAACTGGTAGACAAAACCTCTAAACACTGTTTGAAGACTTCTTGTTTCAGTACTTTTCTTTGGAATCAAAGGACTTCCAATTCTCGGAGAATTTGGGGCAGACTCTGATTGTGAGCAAAAAGCTTGGCCTGGTATGAACTCTGGACAATTAATCAGTTGAGACAAATCTGTTTGTGGCACGATTCGTGGAGGAGGGCCTGGGATTGGCCATTTTTCTGGTCCTACCCTTTTTCTCATTTTCTCATGCACAATTTCAACTTTTGTGCTATCCTTCTGTGCCTCTAAGATGAGATTAAGGTTTGTGGTGAGCGCCTGAACACAGTGAAAATCAGCAATCCGAGAAATAGGCAAGAAACCTTGTTCATCCATCTTTCTCCAAAGAAAGAAGTCTCGTTCCAAATTTTCTATACTGAAGTAATATTCCATTTGGCGTTTAATATATTCTTTAAGCAGTGTTTCCTCCACAGGATACACCTGTACGCCTGTCCCATCATCACAGTAGCGCATCATACTGGCATTGAATCCCCTCTGAGATGGCTGATCAGTCCTTGCACCGTGTTCTCCATAACCATAAGTATACTCAAAGTTCAGTAGAGGATTTCCTCTGCCTCATCCTCTTCCCCATCCTCGGCCTCTAAAGGACCCTCGGATAGTGCCACCCTCACTTCTCACACTGGAGACTTCATCTTGATCATCTCTTTTTTCTCTATCTTGCCTCCAACTTCGTGTATCATTTCTCCTATTATTATGTGCTGACTTATTTGCTTCAGCTTGACACCTAGAGTTATTCCGGGATCCAGGTCTTTCTTGGCTGTCTGGCCTGAGATCATCTAATGGAATGGTACCCACTTGTGCTTATTAGCTGTCTTTCGCTGATTACTTGATTGAGCCTCATCCTCACTCATGTTTTCACTAGGACCATTGAATTTTGTTTCCTGGTTTTCTTTGCTCTCACTGTTACTTCTCTTTTCAATCTTCTCTTTTTTTCTTTTCTAATTTGTGGCTTCTTACTTCCTTGGCTTAGGACACTCTGAAATCCAGTGTTCACTAATTCACCTGGTGGTGGCCAAACAGCCACATCGCTGAAGTTGCTGGCCTTGTTGGGTTTCTTTGTCTTAAGTATTCCTGCTTTTATAGGTTTCGGGGCACTGAGCTCTGCTACCAGGGTGTCCGGCGGGGGCGGCAACAGCTCTGTGGCGGCGGGGGGCAGGTGCTGCGACCGCTTTTTGGTCCGAGGGTTCTCTTTAGGTAGTGGAGGTTGCGGCTTCTCCCTGGGGCCGGCCGCGGCCAGCTCCTCCTGGGTGTCCTGGGCTGGCAGACCCCGCGGTGGTGGAGGGGTTGGAGTCGGTGGCTCCCCAGTGGAGGGGCCCCCGGAGCCAGGCGCCTTGTGCACCACATGCAGCGCCAGGAGCCACACGGGCACGGCCGCCTGAGGCACACAGCTCCCCAGCACCGCGGCTGGTGAAGGCTCACCCCGCGTCCCTGCGCTGGTTGGGTTTTTTTGTTTGTTTTGGGGTTTTTTTAGACACGGTCTCCTATCTAGTTGAGGCTGGTCTTGAACTCACTATGTACCCAGGCTGGCCTCAAACTCTCCATGACCCTCCTGATCAGCCTCCCAAGTGCTGGATTACAGACCTGTACCACCATGCCCGGCTCCCTCTGCATGCAGTATGGATGCATCTGAGGCTCCGAGTGGCGCACCCATCTTGCTACTGGCCTAAGGATATAGCCAGCTACAGAAGTGAATAAAGAAGTGCTGGAGCTCCAGAAGAAACCATCCTGGAAACTTACAACACCTCTGGAATTTGTCAATTGTTTTTTTTTTCTGCAGCACTGGCATTGAACCTAGGGCCTTTGCACTGAGATACATCCCCAATCCCCACCCTCCTTCCTTAAATTTTGAGACAGTGTGTTACTTAGCCACTAAATTGTCCAGGCTGGGCTTGAATTTGCAAATCTCCTGCCTTAGCCTCACAGAGTGCTGGGATTAGAGGCATGTGCTACCATGCTAAGCTAATTTGTCTTATTGTTTAAGGTAGTTTGAGTTAAATTTGTTCTTTTCAGGTTTGCAGTACTAGAGATAGAACAGGACCTCGTACATGCTAGGCAAGTGCTATAACACTGAGGTACATCCCAGCCCAAGGTTTCTTTTGCTTGCAATCTAAAGCATCCCCTATATCCTATCCTCACTGTATGGTAAAAAAGATTAAATAATTCCTTTAAAACCCTCACTCAGGACACTGCTTGGACATCATGTCACAATTTTGTTCTCTAAGAGCTGTTTACTAAATCTTCCAGGTCCACACTGTCCAGTACAGGAGCCACTAACTACTTGTGGCTACTGAACACTTCAAGTATAGCTAGCCTAAAGCAAGTTTTTTTTTTTTTTTGGTGGTGCTGGTACTAGGGATAGAACCCAGGGCCTCACACATGCTAGGCAAGTGCTCTACCACTGAGCTACATCATTAGCTCTTTTAAGTTTTCATTTAGAAACAGAATCTCACTTAATTGCTCAGGTTGGGCTCAAACTTGCTATCTTCCTGGCTCAGCCTCCTGAGTATCTGGGATTACACGTGTGCGCCACCATGGCCAGCCAAAGTGAGATGTATTTTAAGTACAAATGAGATATAGAAAATATAACTTTTAAATGCTGAATATTTAAATAAAGAAATGTACTAATGGGGCTGGGGATATAACTCAGTGGTTCCAGCACCTGCCTCATAAGCGCAAGGTCCCAAGTTCAATCCCCAGTACCAAAAAAAAAAAAAAAGTACTAATGATACAAAAGATTTTGAAGGCTAAGATTACAAAAAGAGGGGGGAAATAAAATTTTAAAAAAGTAAAATCTGGCCAGAGATTTAGCTGAGTGGCACCACACCTGCCTCACCTGCCTCAGATTGTGAGTTCGATCCCTGGTACAAAAAAATGAAAGTAAAATCTGTTAATTTTTATAAGTAACCTCCCCCAAATATTTCTGTATTTATTGTTCTCAGGAAATGAATAAAGGATTCTTACTCCAAAAAAAAATTATATATAACTACATGTAATTAAAACAAATTACAGGGCCGGGGATTTAGCTCAGTGGTTCCAGAGCCTGCCCTGCAAGCACAAGGACCCGAGTTCGATCCTCAGTACCAAAAAAAAAGTTAATTTAACAGTTGAGCCATATTTAATAAAATACAGTATTAAAATTAATCTGACCTTTTAAAAAATATCTTTTTTGGGGCGGTGGGCGTGTGGAGGTGTTTGGGTTTTTTGGTACCGGAGATCGAACTTAGGACCTTGTGCTTGTGAGGCAGGCGCGGCACCAATGAACTAAATCCCCGGCCCTAAAAATATCTTTTAAACTGTGGATATGAGCAACTTTAAAATTACATATGCAGAGGGCTGGGGATTTAGCTCAGTGGTTCCACTGCCTGCCTCGCAAGTGTAAGGTCCCGAGTTCAATCCCCGGTACCAAAAAAAGTCAAATCAAATCAAATCAAATCACATATGGACTTCTGTGCACTTTACCAGGCAGTTCTGCCCACACAAACCAGGTAAGAGGACCCCGTGTTCTTGTTCCACTGTCTAGCAAGCGTGAAGGCTTCCCTGTAAGCAGCACCCCTCCTCCCGTTTAGCTCCTTCACACACCTGTGTGCTCTCCTCACCTCCACCCATCCCCTTTCAGCCTCTTCCAGCCTCTCAGCTCAGAACATCAGGAAAATGAAAGAATTCTCCTTCACTACCACCAAGAAGAACACCAATTATTCCGAAGTAAACTCGAGTTCATTTATAACTGTGCTTCGCACCCTCACAAAGTGTATTAGAATGACTTGCATTTCAATATACACTAGTTCTGCAAGAACAGAAAATTATGTAAAAGCTGAGGCTGGAAACAGCAGAGAAATTTCCCAAAGAAGAACGACTCCTCAGCACCTACCTTGCTTATCTCCTCTTCGTATTCTCTTCTCAATTCCCCAGGTTGACTTAACAAACGAACTGGCTGACAGTCCTCATCTGTTTCACATCAGAGAAGAAAACACTGTTATAGACAAACAGAACTTTATATCTTTGATTAAAAGTACTTTAATATAAAAATGTAAAATAAAAATAAATGTACTATTATTAACAGCAATAGCAATAATAGCTTCTTTTGCAATTCCTTTTTTAATTATTTTGTAGTACTATAGGGATTGAATGGACCAAGGGGTGCTCTACCCATTGGTGCTATATCCCCGGCCTTTCTTAAATTTTATTTTAATTTAGTGACAAAATGTCACCAAATTGCTTAGGTTGGCCCTGAGCTTACAATCTTTCTGCCTCAGCCTCCAGCTTGAAATTCCATTTCAAAAGGTAAGAGGTTGGCCCGGGGATTTAGCTCAGTGGTTCCAGCGCCTGCCTCGCAACCACAAGGTCCCAAGTTCGATCCCCGGCACACACACACAAAAAAAGGTAAGAGGTTGGTTCCAAGTGGCACATGAATACATAAACTTAATCCTTCCTCTAGATTTCACTAAAATAACAGTAAATGTTGGGCTGGGGATTTAGCTTAGTGGTTTCGCCACCTGCTACACCAGCGCAAAGACCCGAGTTCGATCCCTATACCAAAAAAAATAAAAAATAAAAAAATAACAGTAAAGGAATAAGAAAGATGTGACCTCATACCACTAAAGTGATTAGGAAAGGGGATCTAATTAATTAATTAAAAAAAATTTTTTTTTGCAGTACCAGGGATCAAACTCAGGACCTTGCATTTGCGAGGCAGGTGAGGTGCCAATGAGCTAAAGCCCTGGCCCTTGGGATCAAATTAATTTTTAAAAAATATAATTCAGAATTCACTAACTAGGAAATCAAGAGTCGCTGACCAGCAGGCCTTTCTTCTTGTGCACACACTATTTGTGTAAAGAAACTGAGGGTTGAGGAAGCGCCGTGGCAGTCAGGTGGTGATCAGCACGAAGCCCTTAGCAAGCTGGCAATCACCAGTTTCTACTCGACCTCACACAAGGCCTGCCAGTCTCCAGTACCCATCCATGTACACAGAGCTTCTCTCAGGGCTTTTGCTTTTCTAATTGATAACTGGTGTCAACCCTCAGGCCACTGTACCACCAAGCCACATTTCCAGGGCCTCCCTAAGTAGCCCAGGCTGGCCTGGGACTTGCAATCTTCCTGCCTCAGCCTCCCAAGTAGCTGGGATTGTAGCATCAAGTCCAGTTATGGCCTCATTTAAAAATATGAAACTTAAGGGCTGGGGATTTAACTCAGTGGTTCCAGTGCCTGCCTCGCAAGCACAAGGTCCCAAGTTCAATCACCCGTACCAAAAAAAAAAAAAAAAAGAAAAGAAACTTAAGCATGATCACTAGACATCTGAAATAAATCTGTAGGATTAAATAGAAACACTGAACTATAGAAAGAGGGGGGAATGACCTCACCCTAGAGTTACACCGGCAATCCTAGTTTCTCAGGAGGCTGAGGCAGGAGGATCCAGTTGACTACTGCCAGGAAACTCAGGCCCACTGCTGCCTTTATTTTCTTTTTTGCTTTCTCATGAAAATCCAGAAACGCAGAGTTTAATGTGAACACTTATAATTTCTTTCTCTTTTTCCTTTCCCCAGTACTGGGGATCAAATTCAGGACCTTACACTTGCTAGGCAGGCATGGTGCCACTGAGCTACATCCCCGGCTGAACACTTCTAATTTCAATGCTGCTGCTGGCTGACGCACAGATGTCTAGGCTTACAAGGCCAGTAGTTCACAAACTCTATAAAAGAGGAACTAAAAACTGTCCTAACTGTGTAACAGACTGGAATGAAGCAGCTAAACTCTCCTTTTAGCTATCAAGGATGATCCATTTGAGCCAAAGAAGATAAGCCAGAGAAGAATACAATTCCTTAAAACAAAACAAAACTTTTGTACATAGGGAGGGGAAGGGAAGTAAGGGTGGGGGGATAAAATAAAATTTATTTTTAAAAAAATCCTTAAAACAGAGAGGCCCTGGATTTGATCCTCAGCACCACAAAACAAATGGGCGGAGCTGAACAGAAAGGATGCTTAGGGGCACTTCCAGTAGAGGAGGAGGGCTACAAGCAGAGGAGTTCTTCATCAGACACTATAACTTAGGGCTTTGCAGGCCTTCCTGGTAAGGAGTAAGGCAGCAGTGTTTGATGCAGCCTGTCAAAACCACTCAGTTCTGGGCCAGGGATGTAGCTCAGTAGCGCTGCACCTGCTTGGCAAGCACAAGATCCTGAATTTAATTCCTGGTGCTGAGGGGGAAATTAAAAAACCACTCAGTTCTGCCACTATGGCACAAAAGCACCCATAGACATAGTTAAGAAATTAATACCCAGGGCTGGGGATTTAGCTCAGTGGTTCCACCGCCTGCCTCGAAAGCGGAAGGACCTGAATTTGATCCCCGGTACCAAAAAAAAAAAAAAATTAATACTCAGAACAAAGAACTCTTATAACTTGCCACGGTGACACACGCCTGGACTCCAAGCACTTGGGAGGCTGACGCAGGAGTACTGCTAATTCAAGCCAAGGCCAGCCTGAGCTACATAGCAAGACCTTATGTCTAAAAACAGAATAAAAGCAAAAACAAAAAGCGGGCCAGCCTTGATAGTATGTGGCTGTAGTCCCAGCGCTCTGGAAGGCTGAAGTAGGAGGATCTCAAGTTAGAGGCCAATCTGGATAGCTTGGAGACTTACCGAGACCCTGATTCAAAATGAAAAAAGGACTGGGAAAAGAGCTCTGTGATAAGGCCTTGGATTCGACCCCCAGCAGTACTACAAACAACAACAACAAAAAACTACAGTTCAACAACAAAACAATCCAATTAAAAATAGAGGAAGGATTTATGGGACTTGTCTCCAAAAATGACAGACAAGTGGTCAATAAGCACAGGAAGAGATGTTCAACATCACTAGTCAGGAGGGAACTGCAGGTCAAAGCCAGAGACACAACTTCACTTCCTTTACAAGGACCGTTACCTAAAAAGCAAACACAATGATGTGTGGGAAAAGACGTGGACCAATCACAATCCCCGTACACTGCTGAGGGGTGGGGTGAAACTGTGAGGCTGCTATAGAAACAGCACTGGCAGCGGCAGCTCCTAAAACAATTAAACCTAGAGCTACACTTGACCCAGGACCTCCACTTCCAGACACACATCCAAAGGAACTGCAAGCAGGAGTCAAACAGATGCCAACATGATTCACAACAGCCAAGTGTCTATCAATGGATAGATAAATGAAAGAGTGAGGGGTAGGTACAGTGGAATATTATTCAGCCATAAAAAGGAATGGCACTCTGATACATGCTAGAATGTGGAAGAACCTTGAAGACATGCTAAGTGAAACAGATATAAAGGGACAAATACAGTATGATTCTATGTTTTGAAGTGCTGGGGACTGGACCCAGGCTCATGCTATACAAGCAATTGACCACTGAGCTACATTCCCAGTCAAAAATCAAGTTTTACAGACTGAAAGTGACTCACAGTCAATTGTTTGCCACCCACTGAAAACAACTCTCAGTATTGTTCAACTCTGTTTAAAGTTAAATTTGCTTCTGTCAGCCACTTAAACGAAATATTTTCACTTCCTACAGCGAGTATTGTGCCCAGGCAGCTAGGACATTAAAAGAAACACATCTCTACACTTCTGACTTTATTCTGAAGGGAAAATCCAAATTAGTTTAAAAACTGTCCAATTCTTTTGGGCCTAGTAGTCATCCCTGTAACCCTAGCACTCAGGATGCCGGGCAGGAGGAGGACTGCTGCCAGTTCCAGGCCACTCTGAGCTACTCAGTGAGTTCAAGACCAGCCTAAACTACATAGCGAGACTGTCTCAACAAAAAAACCAAAAAACACCAATACTAGATGAGAAATAAAAATGTGAATAAACCCCAGTTTGAATGTTAAGCCACTCATAATATCATTTTTGTTCCCTAACTTGACTGTTTGGATCACCATGGAAATGAGTTTTTCTCCTGATTAAATTTGTTTTCCCTCCCCGCACCCCCTTTTTGGGGGGCAGTACTGGGAAAGCAGCTATGCTCACCACTATACCACCAATGCTTGGGGCAGTACTTGGGATCAAACCCAGGTGCACTCTACCACTAAACTATATCCCCAACGTTTTAAAAAACAAAAATACATTTTATTACATCTTTTACTTTTGTTTTTTGAGACAGGGTTTTAATATGTAGTTCAGGCTGGCCTCGAACTTGTGGCAATTCTCCTGCCTCGGTCTCCTGAGCACTGGGGTTACAGGTATGCCCCCATGCCTGGCCATCTTTTTTTCATATTTATATTTTATTGTTTTCATTATATGCACACATATATATCCACATATTCATAATGTATATAGCTTTCTTATAATCTTCTCTGTATTGTTTCATTGTCAGTATACGTGCTGCCAAAGCAAGCACTATAGCTTTCTTATATTTTATAAATTAAGAAAACAAAATGAAGCCAAAAAAATTTTTAAAAAAGGGAAGCCAGGTACAGTGGTGTACATCTACAGTCCCTAGCACTCAGGAGAGAGTCAGGATCAGGAGAGTTCAAGGCCAGCTTGGGCCACACAGTGAGATCTCATCTCAAAAAACCAAAAGAAAAACACAAAATGAAGGAAGAGGGACAAGGTTAATATACAAAGACCAATTACTTTTTTTCTGAGACAGGGTCTCACTATGTAGTTCAGGTTGGCCTTAGACCCATTATGTAGCCCAGGCTGGGGTCCAGCTCACAGCAATCCTCCTGTCTCAGCCTTCTGAGTGCTGGGATTATAGCCACCACACCTGGTATCAATTACATTCTTCTAAACTAAAAACAAACAAATGAATTATAAAAAGGATTAAAATTCCAGTTAAAACAGTATCAAGCCAGGGAGCCAGGGGGAAGTTCCAGGCCAGTCTGGGCTACATAGTGAGACTTTGTCTCAAAAAACACAAACAGTATCAAAAACCAAAAAATAACTAGGGATAAATTTAACACAATTTTGTTAGGTTCCTAGGATAGGCCG